GACAACGGCAGTCAGCGCACTTACATAAGTGAAAAACTAGCGAATTTCTTGAAGTTATCGGCGAGCGGCATTGAAAAAATGAGAATTGTAGCCTTTGGAGATAAAAATACCCACAGGCAGCCGACTGACTTCAAAAGTGTTCAACTTAATATTAAAGGCCAATACAGCGGAAAAACAAAGACGATTACAGCTATCGTTGTGCCTAAAATTTGTATTGATGTTTTACCGGTACCGAAAATAAGAAGTGAAAAACTGAAATATTTAAAACTTGAATTAGCTGATACTAACATAAGTGGTGAAAATCTTGTTGATGGTATTAACTTATTAATCGGTCAAGACCACTTTTGGCAATTTACTACGACCGAAAGCAAGCGTATATCTGAAAGGTTAGTTGCGGTTAAAACACTGTTTGGTTGGACAATACAAGGATGTAGTAGTAACTTAGCTGTAGACAGTTGTGTACTAAATATATCCGATAGCGTGGGCCATGCGTTCGATATCTCTAATTTTTGGAGACTAGAATCGGTCGGTATTACAAATTTCCAATCTAATGAAGACCAATCTGTTGTTGGAAAAATCCGATTAAGCATAAATCGAACTAACGGGCGCTACGTAGTCAATCTGCCATGGCGTATTGGCAGCGGCGCATTAGCCGACAATAAGCAAGTTGCTCTCTCTCGTCTTCGTAGCTTAACGACGGGCCTGCTAAAACATAGCGACAAACTTTACGAGTATGATGCAGGAATTAGAGAGCTGTTACAGAACGGATTCGCTGAAGCTGTTGACGGCACAACTTCTAATGGAAAGATCTACTACATGCCGCATAGACCAGTGTATCGAGAAGAAAAAATTACGACGAAAATGCGAATAGTATTTGATGCCTCGTCAAGTGAAGTCGGACTTTCTTCTCTAAACGAGCATCTTAGTGTAGGCGACAATTTGGTGGCGAATTTGTTGTCTACCCTGATAAAGTTTCGCTCGAACCCTATAGCTTTAACAGCGGATATCGAGAAAGCGTTTCTGCAAATCTCACTAGCCGAAAGTGACCGTGATTGCCATCGGTTTTTTTGGTATGAGTCAACTCCTAAAGTCAATAGCGTGTTACCATCAATAACCGAATATCGAATGGCCCGAGTTACCTTCGGCGTAGCTTCAAGTCCCTTCCTACTAGCAGCAACGATACAGACGCATATAGAGAGCTGTAGAGATCAATATGGCGTGATCTGCGACAAGCTAAAAGCTTCGTTTTATGTTGACGATCTGGTACTTAGCCTGCCAAACCGTAAATCGGCTGACGACCTTTTTCAAATGGCGAATAGCATAATGGGCGCTGCCAATTTCAACTTGCGTAAGTGGAATACCAACGACATTTTACTAAAGGCCTCTTTTCCAGTTGCAAAGCGTGACGAGTGTACGAAGCCTAAGGTGTTGGGCATAAATTGGTGCACAATCGCGGATGAGCTCAGCGTCGAATTGGCAGGAATTGTTGAATATTTACGATCGTTAAGAGGCACCAAACGGAATGTAATGAAGGCGATGGCAAAGATATACGATCCCTTAGGAATGCTTTCCCCATTTGTCGTTCGAATTAAAAAATTGCTGCAAAGTGTGTGGAAAGCGAACCTTGACTGGGATCAAACTTTGGATGCAGATCTGTTGTCAAGCTTCCAATGCTGGCAAGAAGAGCTGCCAATACTAAGCGGACTGCGTATAAAGAGAAATCTCACAACGTACAGCACAGCAACAATCGAGATGCACATTTTTGCAGATGCGAGCCCAAAAGCGTATGGAGCGGTAGCATACTTGCGGCAAATTTCTCCTGATAAGGAAATAGTGACAAATTTCATTTGCTCAAAAAATCGAGTAGCGCCTCTTGAGAAGAACTCAGTAAACACCGAACTGAGCTTACCGAAGTTGGAGCTGACCGCAGCCCTGATGGCGGCCAGACTCAAAGCATTTTTAGTTGAGGCTATTGATTGCGATGTTTATGCGACATACATGTGGACGGATTCTACAATTGCTTTGAATTGGATAAGAGGCTGCGGAAAGCAGTTGAAGCCTTATGTCAAGGCGAGAGTGAACGAAATAAACAGTCTGACGAATATATATGAATGGCGCCACTGCGATGGAAAAAAACAACCCCGCTGATTTGATTACCAGAGGTATTAAAGCCAAGCAGTTAGCAGAATCAGTATTGTGGAAGTATGGACCAGCCTGGCTGCTAGAAGAAAAGGCATGCTGGCCAACAGGCTGTCAAGTTGAGCGACCGACGTGCTTGGTAGCTGTTGCAATAAAAGACGATAGCGATACGTACAAACCTATTTTGCAAATCGACGATTTCAGCAGCAGTCTGCTACGTGTGACATCGTACATTTTTCGGTTCCTGAACGCTATCAAAACCAAACATGTGCGCGAAAAAGGCCGGAGAGTTAAATCTGTCGCTGACGTCGACGAGCTAACTTATAAAGAGTTGAAAGAGGCTGAGTGCTACTGGATAAGGGATGCTCAAAGGGGTGATTACGAGAAGGAAATCGGCGCATTGCAACAGGGCTTGTTAATCTCATCTGATTCAAAGCTTTTGACTTTAAATCCAATACTGGAGAATGACGTACTGGTGCTCACAGGAAGACTGCATGGAGTTGAATTTGGTAATAGACATACTAACCCAATTATTCTTCCAAAGCATTCTCGTTTTAGCCAGCTGATAATAATTGAGGCGCATAAAGCCACTCTACATGGTGGCGTTAATGCAGTTTTGTCGCACATTAGAAAGAAGTTTTGGATAGTTCAAGGTCGGCAGCTGATTAAGAACATTCTTCAGCGTTGTGTAATATGCAAGCGCCTATACGGCAAAAGCGCGTCAGAACCGTGGACGGTTTTACCAGCCGAACGAATTGCAACGGCTAGGGTTTTTGAAACCACTGGTGTGGATTTCGC